TCTTCCTGGGAGAAAGACTATCTAGAAGATGAGTGAGGTGGGTCTGGCTACATTGCTGAGTGATGCTCAGCACAAGGCCATTTGCTCATCTACCTGTGAGAAGAGTGTCTAGAGCCTTGGAGAGGTGTGGGAGTAGCTAATGAGACATTGACTCGAAAGTGCTGTGAAAAGTGAGTGCTTTAGGACTACGAGGGTGTAAAATGGCTCCACTCTGGCAGCCTGGAGCCTTATCCTCTCTTGGAGCATGTCTAGCTTACAAATGGAAAAGCAGGATTGGAGCTGGCTGTGAAATCCCATGAATGAGGGGAGAACGGACGCTCCGGGAAAACCAGCGGGGGCCTGATGGTGGGCTGAAGTGGCCTGGGGCTGAGGTCCTGCCTCCCTCCTCATCCCCTTCTCTGCCCTGGGGCCCAGACTTGAGCCTGGGGGTCCTGAAGCAGGAAACCAGCCTTGTGCTGCTCCTCCCCTGAGGTCTGCCCATGCCTGGGTCCTGCTGGTTGTCTTCAGTCACAGATCGTCCCCTTCACTCTCCTCCCCGTGGAGGAAGTGGCATGTCAGAGGAAGGGGGCATTCTCCATGCCTTCCCTTCCCCAGGGAGCCCCTACACACACACACACACACACGCACGCACACACACGCACGCACGCACGCGCACACACACACACACACACACGCACACACACGCACACACACGCACGCACACACACGCACACACACACGCACACGCACGCACACGCACGCACGCACACACACACGCACACGCACACGCACACACACACACGAGCAGTGTCCTTTCAGCACTGGAGGGAGACAGGGTGGCCAAGGGAGGTGGCAGAAGACAGGCAGGGGTACAAGGAGAGATGATGCTTTAAGAAAGGAAAATGAGAGCATAAGGAGAAGAAGATGAGGAAGCTGTTAAGAGGGATGGAACGAGCAGAGGATGAGAAAAGAAGAAAGTGACCGCAAGGAAAAAAAACAGGGCCATAAGGTAGGATACAGGACCATCGCTGGGGACGGAAAGGGCGCTGAACGCGGAATCAGACACCGATTTAGAATCCTGGCTCTGTCACTTACTAATTGTGTTCCTTTGGGTACATCATTAACTTTTCTGGGACTTTTCTCCTCTAGAAAAGGGGTATAATTCTACCTACCTCAAAGAGTTGTCAGGAGGATGAAACAAGACACTGTGAGTGAAGGTGGCAATAACAGTACCATCTGAGGCACACGGCAGGTGCTCAAAAACAAATAGGAATAAATTAAGCGACACTTCACATCCACGAGAACAGCTATTAATTTAAAAAAGGAAAACAACAAGTGTTGAGAGGATACGGAGAATTTAGCACTCATCCTGCCTGGCGGGAGGTAACATGGTGCAACCGCTGTGGAAAACAGTTCGGCGGTTCCTCAAAAAGTTAAACATCGAGTTGCCAAGGGACCCAGCAATTCCGCTCCCAGGTATGTACCCAAAAGAACTGAAAATAGGTATCCAAATACATACTCACACACGTATGTTCACAGCGGCACTACTCACAACAGCCAGAGGGAAGACGCGACTCAGATGTGCATTGATCAGTGAATGGGAAACAAAACTGGCCTCTCCCACAAGGGGAGATTATTTGGCCGTGACGTGCTATGTGACGGGCCTCGAGAACACGACACGAAGTGAAAGAAACCGGACACAGAGCCACGGATTCAATGATTCCATTTATACGGAAACGTCCAGAATAGTTAAAGCCACAGAGACAGAAGGCAGACCGTGGTTGCCCGGGGCTGGGAGGGGGAGAAATGGGGAGTGACTGCTTAATGGGACGGGTTTCCTTCGGGGGTGACAACGATGTTCTGAAACTGGACAGAGGTGACGGCTGTACACTCTCGGGCAGGGGCCAGGGTTCTCCGACCTATCAGTCTGGGCGGCAGGTTCGACGAATGTCCTATTATGGAGAGGGTCTGCGGGAGGGTATGTGGCTCCTTCACCTTCCAGTCGCATTTTCAATAGAGCAGAAGCTCTTTCTAACTCACTCCCAACCTCTGTCCTGAGGCTGGGTGACTAAAAAAAAGAGCAATACTGATCACTCAACTCCTGGTCCCCAGCAGGCGAAACTCACAGGGTGCCCCAGCGCGGACACGGCGGTGGGCGGCCCACAGCAGCACCACGGCTCCTCTCGCGAAACCGTAAGAGCCTCACACAGCCCAGGCCAACGAGCCCTCTGTCCATGACCAGCTGCCAGCACCACATCTGGAGTTGTGGCCCCAGAACTATGGCCCTCAAACAGATGGGCCGGACACCCCAGAGCTGCCTGACGCCAGCATTATACCCTGTGCACAGGCGGGGCAAGTTCTAAGAAGAGGAGGCTGTGGGAGGTGGGCCACGCCTCTTCCACGACCCCCTTTCATGCCAGGTAATGGCCACGTCATGCTCTCTGCACAGGGTGCCCATCAGCCAGGGCCTGGGTCAAGGACCTTGTTCTACACAGAGCCTGAGCTCTAAGTGTGGATGAATGGTCTGGAAGAGCCAGAGCCAGGACACCGTCTGAAGTATCCAGAGCTCAACATTCACGCTTCCTCTCCCTGCTCTAGTGAGACTCGCCCATGTCCCAGACACCCGGGATCACTCCTCCACAAGGCCTGGCAGGGCCCTGGACTCTCCTCCCTGCCCCCTTC